GCCTTGGGCCCCTTCCTTTCCTTAAGAGGATGAGGGGGGAAAGGAATGGGCCTGAGGCTGTTAGGAATGGTGGGAGTTGAAGTCCAAAACATCTGGAGGGAGGCCCAAGTTTGCCCATGTCTGCCCTATATACTGTTGGATGAGTTCTGTATAAGCAGGTGTGCCTGTAGCTTAGTAGGTCTCAGTGTTAGTTCACCTCAGTCTGAGGTAAACCTCAGTGGGAGAAAGGTCTCAGTATGTGACAAGGCCTCACAGTGTGTGGTAGGCCTTAGTCTGTGAGAGAAGGCCTCACAGTGTGAGGTACACCCTCCTTATAAACGTATAGCAGAGTAATTTATTAGCAGCAGCATGACCCAGCACCATGGACATGTCCCTATATCAAGTATGGGCGAACTTGGGCCCTCCAGGTGTTTTGAACTTCCAACTCCCACCATTCCTAACATCCTTGGGCCCCTTCCTTTTCTTAAGCAGTTGAAGGGGTAAAGGAAAGGGCTTGAGGCTGTTAGGAATGATGGGAGTTGGAACCCAAAACACTTGGAAGTCCCAAGTTTGCCCGTAGATGGCCCATGTTGTCTCTTCCAACTCTAGGGTTCTATGATTCTACTGAGGTTAGCCATAAAATTGAGTAAAGTCTTGAGGGATCAACTCGCTTCCAGTGCCCCACATCCTTTCTGGTTAGTAGGCATCAGCTCTGTTATTATGCGATGGTGACTCTACTCCCAGATTGAAGATTCTGAGTCCACCATGTATTTATGGGATAAACTTCCATTGGGAATATATTGGGAATGGATTTCAGTGTTTAGACAGTTCCGATAACACCCAGAGTCACTTTGGAGGAGGAGACCTTGAAAACCAAGGAGTCTCTACTCCAAGTTAGAAGTTTTTGAGTCCTCCAGGTGTTTATGGGATGACCTTCCATTGGGAATATCTTAGGAATGGGTATCAGTGTTTAGACAGCTCCGACAACATGTAGAGTAGCTTTGGAGGAGGAGACCATGAAAACCAAGGTGACGCCACTCCCAGATTGAAGTTTTTGAGTCCTCCAGATATTTATGGGATGAACTTCCATTGGGATTATATTGGGAATGGGTATCAGTGTTTAGACAGCTTCAACAACACCCAGAGTAGCTTTGGGGGAGGAGACCATGAAAACCAAGGTGACTCTACTTTCAGATTTAAGATTTTGAGTCCTCCATATGTTTATGGGAACTATCCAGTCTTGGAACTTCCATGGGGATATCTTGGGAATGGGTATCAATGTTTGGACAGCTCCATTAACACCCAGTGTAGCTTTGGAGGAGGAGACCACGAAAACCAAGGCTGGTGTCCCTGCCTTTCCATAACAATTCCTCTCACTTGGCCTCCTGAAAGTGCTTCTGTGTTGCTACAGGGTCCAAGTAAGATCCTCATTGTGTAGGTGCCCCTGATCTCTATTGAGTTGTGTTGGGAAGGCAATAAGCCTGGGGCAAAACTCCAGCTCTTTTGGACCACCATCTTTGGTTGGTCTCCAAGTCTGGCTGAAATAGATGAGTCAAGATCCTCTTATCGGGGTTGTGCAGCCTCAGTCTCTGCATCGTGAATTACTCATTCATTGTGCAGCATGAGCCTTGTGTCAAAAGGCACTAAATGTGCAATCGAAGAAGCAACCAAAGATACTTATGTGCCGAGATGTGCATGAATTCACAGTTTGCATTGTCGCAACATCTACAGCTCTCCTTTCCATAGCCTTGAATTGAATACACAAACATATCCAGCTGTTTTGATGTGGGATTGACTCATGTGTAAAACAACAATCCAGCTTCCAACATGGATTCCACCATCCCAGCCCTTCTGATTGCTGTCCCCATCTCTGAAGCCAAAGATGTATGATGTGTGCAAATGTAGTGCTGTATTTTTGTAAAAAAAAAATCAGGAAAAATGTGCCACGGGATTGAAAGTGAAGTGTTGCGGTGCCTCAATTTAGGAAGGAGGGAGGGAGGCTTCCTGCCCGAGAGAAGGGAGGAATGAAACCGTGGGGGGCCGAGAGGAGAGAAACACGAGAGTAAAAATATCATTGTGAAAAAGGAAGTGGAGGCGGCAGGCTGCGAGTCTATAACAAGAGGAACAATTTATGCTCAGGCACGAGTTGGGTTTGACATGGGGATAATGAAAAAGCGTAGGTCATTGTGGATGACTTAAGCCTTCAGCAGCTGAGGAAAATGTATGAAATGCGAGCGGCATTACACGCTTGGCGGCTCCGCACATCTGCAACGGGACAAGTGAAATACAGTGGGGCCATTCTTTACCATAAACTTGCGGCCGGCGGATCCGCCGAGCCCGGAGAAGATTGTAATTACACTGACAAGACAAATCAGCGATATTTAAATATTCATGAACAAAGTCTTGGGCGATCAATCTATCTTTATTGTCCTTCCATTCAGCTCCTGTAATAAATATAAAAAGGGGGTGCAGAGCTGAAAGGCGCTCGCATCCTGCCTGTCCCCCTCTTTCCCGCTGTCCTTCAAGGAAATGCTGCCCTTTGGGGGCAAAGGCTAAAACAAAGGGAGGTTGGCAATTGTCTACCTTGCCGTTGGCATGCTCCAGTTGAAAGCTCGTGCTTTGCTAGCCCTGTTAACATGAAAGAGACAGGTATGATGTCACCTGGTGCCTCGGTTTCACCACTCGTGAAATGGCAACTGTGCAAACTAAGCTTTGCAGGAGTGGGCAGGCAGAGGCAGTGCTGAGATCTTATTGGATAGACCCAGCTACAATAGATCTTTATGGGAGGAACTTCCATGGGGAATATTTTGGGAGTCACTTTGGAGAAGGAGACCATGAAAACCAAGGTGACTCTACTCCCAGATTGAAGTTTTTGAATCCTCCAGATGTTTATGGGATGAACTTCCATTCGGAATATATTAGGAATGGATATCAGTGTTTAGATAGCTCCAATAACACCTGAAGTAGGTTGGATATTAGTGTTTACATAGCTCCAATAACACCTGAAGGAGGAGACCATGAAAACCAAGGTGACTCTACTCCCAGATGGAAGTTTTTGAGTCCTCCAGATGTTTGTGGGATGAACGTCCATTGGGAATATCTTGGGAATGGATATCAGTGTTTAGACAGCTCTGACAACAGCCAGAGTAGCTTTGGAGAAGGAGACCATGAAAACCAAGGTGACTCTACTCCCAGATGGAAGTTTTTGAGTCCTCCAGATGTTTGTGGGATGAACTTCCATTGGGAATATCTTGGGAATGAGTATCAGTGGTTAGACAGCTCCGATAACACCCAGAGTAGTGCTTGTGAAATGGCAACTGTGCAAACTAAGCTTTGCAGGAGGGGGCAGGCAGAGGCAATGCCGAAATTCTATTGGATAGTCCCAGCTACAGTAGACCTGTGAAGCCTATGGGATCTGCTTCCTTGTTGAGTTCCCATTCAGCAAGTGAATCCATGGATCTACTCTTAATGCAGCTTAGAGCATTGTGCCAGGAGGGTTTTCAATACGCTGTTTCTGCATGCATGATCAACAAGATCCCATTTAGCACTGATCCTCAAAACTGGTGTCTTCATCTGCGATATTAGCTTCGCAATTGAGATATGTATCAAAACAATATAGATTGCCCTAGCCATGCTTTAGAATTTGGACGTGATTTTGCAGAACCAAGTATTGTGCAAATCAACAAAGGATTCCCCCAGGCAGTAAGAAGCCACCCCTAAAAACTGTCAGGCCATCAAATGCTAATCAAGGTGGCCAATTGAAACATTCACACCTAGCTCCAAAAGGCAAGAGTGCTTTCTCCCACCCTGGACATCATTCCACAGGGATATAAGCCCAATTTTCCTAGTTTCCAACAGACCTCACTACCTCTGAGGATTCCTGCCACAGATGCAGGTGAAACATCAGGAGAGAATGATTCTGGAACATGGCTATACAGCCCACAAAACACACAACAACCCAGTGATTCCGGCCATGAAAGCCTTTGACAACATATTGTTTAAATATTCTACAGATGGGACTATGCTAAGGTTCCTCTCTCAATACACAACCTGTTGTTTTGATATTGCCTCCCCTGCACAGCCATTTGAGAGCCAAGGAGTCCTGGCCTCATAGCCAAATTTAGAATGAAGGCACCATCGATCAAGATTGCTTGAGGTCCTCTAGAGATCTTGGCAAGGTGTGATGTCATTGTTCTGTATCCAATTAAGAGGAGCTGGCCAAGTGCTTGTGGCCCACCAGTCTCACCAAGCACTGAATAGAGAGGGAAAGGCTGTTGCAAGGAAGTGGTGTGTCCCAGAGGAACTTGAGTTGGTGTGCAGGGAGGAAGATGGTTCTAATTGAAGCAATGACCCAAAAACAGAGGTTTGCAGATGTCGAGTTGACTTCCCCTTGTATCAAATCCTGACTGGTCTTGCAATCTAAGTCAAGTCAGCCCTGGTTAGTCCTTAGATTGGAGGCCACCAACAAATACCAGGAGCCTAGACTCAGAGGAGGGAACTGACAAACCACCTCTGAGAATTCCTTGTCAAAAAAATCTGTGAAATTCATGGGGTCAGCATATGTTGATAGGTTGTGCAAAATCACATGGAGGAAACTTATGGATCATGGCAGGCTGTGCCCCTAGAGAGCTTTCCCTTGCATTGGGTGGCAATGGCATCACTTGGACCTTCAGGATGGGTTCAAGAACCAAGTTTCTCTCTATGGGAAGCTTGAGTGCCTGAAGAGTGTGCTCATCAGAGCAACATCTCAGCTTGGTGCTCTCCAAGGTCCTGCAAGTATGTCATTAGTATTTTGCACACCATGAGTGAGCGAAGTGTAGTCTTTCAGATGTTGTAGGTTGGAATTCTCATCAGCCATAATGGCCCGTGGTGAATAAGCTGGGTCATTTTAGTCCAGGACTGTGTTTCACTTGTTGCAGACATAAGCTCTCTCTTGTGCTCTAGGATAAACCTGTATTTGTGTTTGCATTGCTATATGATATATATCCGATGTGCCTCTGATTGTGGCGTCTCCCTTGCAGGGGACCACCCGTACGAGTGTGAGTTTTGTGGCAGCTGCTTCCGGGACGAGAGCACTTTGAAAGGCCACAAGCGCATCCACACTGGAGAGAAGCCCTACGAATGCAATGGCTGTGGCAAGAAGTTCAGCCTCAAGCATCAGCTGGAGACTCACTATAGGGTCCACACAGGTAAGGAAGGGGCATCCATTGACCTTTTGGCCTCCTCTTCCCTTGAATCTTGATCTGAGAGGGTTTTGAGGACTCGGACAGCTGCTTTAAGTCCACATTGAGAAGAAGGTTGGAGACTTTGCATGAATTGGCAAAGTGGTGGAAAGAGTCATGAAGGACTTCTGGCCCAAGAATACAATTGAGTCACACTGAAAATACCTAAATGTTGTCAGACATGGGCAAATGAAACCATGCAAAATTGTAGGACATTGTTGCCATGTTTTGACTCACTTTTAGTTCCAGGAGAGGGCTTGATCTTCAAATCCCAATATGAAAATTTTGAGGGAACACCACCTTGCCTAATCCACATTGATGGCTGGTGGCTTCCATATCAATGAGTTGATGAATCCACTAAAGGTTGTCTTCTGAGCTTCAACAGAACTATCAAAGAGGCTCGATCCTAGTCCCAGAACAGGTCCAGAAATTTGGATAACTCCACAATTGAAATGGCATCTTAGAACTCCCCAGAAACTGAAGCCAAGGATGGCAATGAACTATATCTGCCATGGGTTGTGGAGAGTCCTCTTTGTAGGACTCTCCACAACCCACAGTGTTTTTCAGAGAGAGTAGCCATTGGAGTCTTCATGCTGGGAACATTTGGGGAAATTCATTGCAAGTTGAAGATGGAGATCGGTCTTGGTCCCTCGCGGCCTCCAGGTTTTTCTCCGGCAACGGGTGAATCCCTGGGTGCATCAGCTCCTGGCATGCAACTATTGTAAATAGTCAGGTCGATATTTAGATCACTTTTGCTGTTCATTACTTCATTATTCGCTCTGCCTGTGCACAGAGCAGGTATCAATATTGCAAAGAGCGAGGCAGTTAATTACAACGTCGAAACAAACCCCCTTGGCTTTCGGCCACGGCTGCTGTGTACAGTATCAAAAATCATTCTCTGGGAGAGCTGGTTCACTCGGGGGAAGGTCACGGCTAGCAGGCGAATGTGCTGGAGAAACTGAACTCAGGAGGAGGACAGAACGACCCCAAGGCCAGGCAGCACAATATTGGCCATTCTTGCAGGACTCTTTCGGTTGCATTTCAACAAAGGCTGCCTCTGTACTCTAAGATTAGTGCAGTTCGATAGCACTTTAACCATGAAGGCTCAATGCTATGGGATCCTGGGATTGATAGTTTGGTGAGACATCAGTATTCCACACCACCCGTGATTCCATAGCATTGAGACACAGCAATTCAAGTGGTGTCAAACTGCATTCATTGCACAGTGTAGTTCAGGCATGGGCAAACTTCAGCCCACCAGGTGTTTTGGACTCTTCCTTTTCCCCCTTAGCTGCTTAAGCCTGAGGCTGTGAGGAATTGTGGGAGTTAGAGTCCAAAACACCTGGTGGGCTGAAGTTTGCCCATGCCTGGTGTAGATGCATCCTTAGTGTACTATCAGGAATAGTTTGAGTCAGCACAGTAGCCTCAATGGAGGTGTAGATGTACACCTAATGTGCTATCAGGAGCAATTTAAGTCAACACAGTAGCCTTAATGGAGGTGTACATAGATGTACACCTAGTGTGCTATCAGGAGTAGTTTGAGTCAACACAGTAGCCTCAATGGAGATGTAGATGTACACCTAATGTGCTATCAGGAGTAGTTTGTGTCAACACAGTAGCCTCAATGGAGGTGTAGATGCACACCTAATGTGCTATCAGGAGTAGTTTGAGTCAACACAGTAGCCTCAATGGAGGTGTAAATGCACCCCTAGTGTGCTATCAGGAGTAGTTTAAGTCAACACAACAGCCTCAGTGGAGGTGTAGATCCACCCCTAGTGTGCTATCAGGAGTAGTTTGAGTCTACAGAGTAGCCTCAATGGATGTGTAGGTGCACCCCTAGTGTGCTACCAGGAGTTGTTTAAGTCAACACAGTAGCCTCAATGAAGATGTAGATGCACCCCTAGTGTGCTTATCAAGAGTAGTTTGTGTCTACACAGTAGCCTCAATTGATGTGTAGGTGCACCCCTAGTGTACTACGAGGAGTTGTTTAAGTCAACACAGTAGCCTCAATGAAGGTGTAGGTGCATCCCTAATGCTCTATCAAAAGTAATCTGAGTCAACACAGTAGCCTCAATGGAGGTGTAGATGCACCCCAAGTGTGCTATCAGGAGTAGTTTGAGTCAACACTTTAGCCTCAGTGGAGTTCAATTGAAATAACCTCAAGTTACTTTTTTAAAGTTACTAATCTTCCTGGCTCAGCTCTACCTTTGAAGGATCTCCTTTCAGAATCTCAGGTCTTGGCAGTAGGAGAAATACATTTTCATGAGGAGAGAGCAGGCAGTGGCTTGAACACGTGTACAATGATATGGAAGCCACCATCCATGGATGGATCCAAGCACTTGTCCTCAACGTTGGTGTTTAGTCTCATTCCTGCTCTTGCTCGCCTTGCTAACGCTCTTGCTTTGCTCCTTCCTCGATCTCCCCATCCTTTGCAGGCGAGAAGCCCTTTGAGTGCAAGCTCTGCCACCAGCGCTCCCGCGATTACTCGGCCATGATCAAGCATCTCAGAACCCACAACGGCGCTTCCCCTTACCAATGCACCATCTGCCTGGAGTACTGCCCCAGTCTTTCCGCCATGCAGAAACACATGAAGGGCCACAAGCCGGAGGAAATCCCCACTGACTGGAGGATAGAGAAGACCTACCTGTACCTTTGCTATGTCTGAAAGGGACGAACGGAGGGATCGAGGGATGCAGGCAGGAAGGAAAGAAGGAAGGATTGGGCAAAAAGACCCCAATATCCCTGAAATTGTCCTTGGCTTCTCTCCTCTCCTTCTTCTCCCTTCCTTTTTTCCCTTCTCCCTGCTCCTTATGCTCTTCCTATACATTATAATTTGCCCGTTGAGAGCAGCAGGAGCAAGAGAGGGCAGCAGGAAACTCTTGATGAGGTCTCCAGCCAAGACCCAACAAAGGGAAACATGGAAATAAATCAGTATTCAGACTGAGCCATAAATGTTCATGTCTCCATGGGGTCAAGAGTCGATACATTCTTTTGGGATGGCCAGATTTTAAGGCAGGATATTCCATGTTGTGCTCCTGTTTTGTTCTCTTGGTCCCCAACTATCCCCATCCCGAAAGGAACCTTAGGAACTGTAGTGTTGCCAAACACGTGGTATTCTCTGCTAGATGTATCCGGTCCTCATTCATATTATGGATTGGTGAAAATCATAAAAAATTGTACATTCAACGGGATTCTATGTACAAAGTTCACAATCCTGCATCACTTCTCCTTGGATCTGCTGATTGAGAACCATTCCCTTTGAGCATTTGGGGGAAAGGATTGAGTACCAAACAAGCATTGATTGCCCAAGAGATGATAGAGTCTGTTGGGAGGACATCTCAGATGTCTTCCTCTTGAAATGTGATTCCTAAGAGGCAGAATATTCAGAGCCAAACATGGCCATAGAAGGAGAGAAGCAGGTGTATGGAGGCATCTCTGCCACATCATTGTTCCCTTTTCCTTGAGGGAACCTGGAAGAAGGTTTGAAGCCTTCYTCCACAGAGRTCTTSTGCTTCATCAGACTACCAACTCTAGAAATGTGTAGGGTGTATCCATGAAGGTTCAGACAGATGCAGCTCCAACGTTGGCATCTCTGAGAAMATGAGCTCATTGGTYGTGATCAGCACTAARGTTTAGGTGGGTTGTCTCAAGAGGGATGGCTCCTTTTTCTTCAAGGAGAGAYAGGAGGAGAACTGTCATYGACACAACTACCAAGACTTAGGTTGGTTTCTCTCTGARCCGCACGATCTCAGGACCTTATCACATTTGGAAATACTCCGTTTTAGTCCARATGCATCCTACYCCTTTTGGGACTGGATGTATARTGTATTTAGATGGGATGCATACTGYCCCACATCACACTTGATTACTACGACTATTACATTTTGAAAATACTGTGCTTTGACTCATCATACCACAGTAGGTTGGCTTCTCCCAATCTGTTTGAATGCTTCCCTACAAAAGTATTTTCAAAATTGTACCAGTGACATCGCCTGGAAGTCTCCAACTACCATTCTCATGAGATTTTGATCTGTATTTTTTGTTTACTACAGATCGTTCAGAAATTTAAGGACCTGTAATAAACAAAACACACAGACAACCGGGTAAAATGTGTCCGTTTTTGCAATGCTTCGCAGATGGATTCCAGTGGATTACTGATGGAATGGGACAAACTTCATGTGATAGGGCAGACATGGGCAAGCTTGGGCCCTCTGGGAGTTTTGGACTTCAACTCCCACAATTCATTTAGTACATGGATGACATGCTCATAGCACAGGCATGGGCCAACTTGGAGCCCTCCAGGAGTTTTGGACTTCAGCTCCCACAATTCCTTCAGTACATGGACAACATGCTCATAGCATAGGCATGGGCCAACTTGGGCCCATCCTGGTGTTTTGGTCTTCAACTCCCACAATTCCTTGAGTACATGGGATGACATGCTAATAACACAGGCATGGGCCAGTTTGGGCCTTCCAGGTGTTTTGAACTTCAACTCCCACAATTCCTTCAGTATGTGGACGTCATATTCGTAGCACAGGTATGGGCCAACGTAAGGCCCTCCAGGTGGTTCGGACTTGAACTCCCACAATTCCTTCAGTATGTGGATGTCATACTCGTAGCACAGGCATGGGCCAACGTGGGGCCCTCCAAGTGGTTTGGAATTGAATTCCCACAATTCCTTCAGTACGTGGATGACATACAGCACAGGCATGGGCCAACGTGGGGCCCTCTAGGAGCTTTGGACTTGAACTCCCACAATTCCTTCCATATATGGATGACATGCTCATAGCTTAAGCGGCTGAGGGAGAAAAAGAAAGGACCCGAGGCTGTTAGGAATGGTGGGAGTTGAAGTCCAAACACCTGAAGGTTAGGAATGGTGGGAGTTGAAGTCCAAACTCCTGAAGGGCCCAAGTTTGCCCATCCCTATTATAGGGCCTGTTTGGAATCATTTTCAGGACAGTACAGTATGCCTTTATTACAGTCAACAAACCATAAGGCAATCCAATAGTTAGATACATCTTCAACACATATAAAAGAGGTGCGCACACCACACACTCTATCGGGAAGCATAACAAAGAGTCTCAGAAACGGAGTGTTTTCCAATGTGATCAGGTCCTCAATCTCAGTCTCTTATTCACATCCCTTTCAGCTCACTCCTCCCTTGACCCTGTTGATGCTCTTTCCTTCTCTGTTGCCCCATCCATCCCTTAAATATGGGGCCCGTCCTTCCCATAGGAAGAGGCCATTACCCTCCAAAGGAAGAGAAGCCATCGTCTTCTCCTCGGCCTCTTTGGACCCAACTCTTCCGCCCAGGACTCTGTCTCCGCGATGGAGCCGAACGATAAGAGACACCCTTCCTTTGGCTTTGCTTTCTTAATTGTATGTTTCTTTATTTGTATTATTTTTGTTCTTTTGCGTTTAGCACATTGTACTTGAAATTACCTCGGTTTCTTGTGACCTCATGAGCTTGTTTGCATACTGTTTTGGGGTGGGGAAAGGGGAGGGGGGGTTAAGATGGCGGGAAAGGCTGCTGGAGAGGAAGAGCGTGTCTGGGTTTGCATGACGCCTGGGTCTGTGGCCCAAACACAGCAGCAGCACCGAAGATCCACCAGCTCCGGGTTCCCATTCGTCGGCCTTATCACTTTGGTTTGCATCGTGCATTATTCTTACCAAAATGGGTGTTTTTGTTTTTCGTGGCCCGACTCTCCCTTGAGGGAAACTGGGTCACAATATTATCTTGAAAGCTACCTCTTTTTTAAGTTGGGTTTTGGGGCGGGAGGTGGGGGGGGGCGGGCGGGTGGGTACGTTGTGTTGGTTTGTTTTGCAGTTACACAAGCACAGTTTTGCAATATGTGTCGGTGGGAGGAGGGAGGGCGGTCCTTTCTTTTGTGTTCGCTTTGTGATGTTCATTTCAAGATTTTCATCTCATGCTTTATATTTGCCAATGTTTTAAAAAATATTTTTTATTTCGTAATTGAGCTGCATCTCTATATGGGGGGAAAGTGGGGGATGCGAATGTTTTTAGGGAAGCCTTGTGTCTAGACCAGGCATGGGCAAACTTCGGCCCTCCAGGTGTTTTGGACTTCAACTCCCACAATTCCTAACAGCCAGTAGTAGATGTTTTGGACTTCACCTCTCACAATTCCTAACAGCCAGTAGTAGATGTTTTGGACTTCAACTCCCACAATTCCTAACAGCCATTAAGTGTTTTGGACTTCTACAATTCCTAATGAACAATCTACAGACCCATGGAAAAAATCCAACTCATGGTCCATTCAGCAAAGGTCAAGAGGGATCCTCTCACCTCTGCAGAAGTCTCCTGTTCTACCATGAAGCTGTGGACATCAAGTCTACATAGGGACCCCCAAACGCAGCATGAATCAAGGAACATGAAAGGCACGGCACACTACTTCAACCAGAGAAGTCAGCCATAGCAGAACATCTGATGAACCACCATGGACATAGCATATTATTTGAAAACACAGAAATACAGGAACACTCTCATAACCACCATGTCAGACTACACAGAGAAGCCATTGAAATCCACAAGCATATGGACAATTTCAACAGAAAGGAGGAAACCATGAAAATGAACAAAATCTGGCTGCCAGTATTAAACAAAACTCTGGAATCAGGATAGTAAATAAAGAGCAACACAAAAAATTCCAGACAGGAAACAATCAGGGCCAGCTAACACCTCTCAACAAAGGATTCCCCCAGGCAGGAAGCAGCCAGGTTTTGAAGCTGCAAGGCTTTCCAATGCTAATCAAGATGGCCCATTACAACATTCACACTTGCCTCAAACAGACAAGAATTCTTTCTCCCACCCTGGACATCAATCCACAGATATATAAACCTGTCAGGAAGCAGCCAGGCTTTAAAGCTACAAGGCTATTTAATGCTAATCAAGGTGGCCAATTGCAACATTCACACTTGCCTCGAACAGACAAGAGTTCTTTCTCCCACCCTGGACCTCATTCCACAGATATATAAACCTGTCAGGAAGCAGCCAGGCTTTAAAGCTGCAAGGCCATTCAATGCTAATCAAGGTGGCCCATTGCAACATTCATACTTGACTCAAACAGACACGAGTTATTTCTCCCATCGTGGACATTATTCCACAGATATATAAACCCCATTTTCCTAATTTCCAACATACCTCACAACCTCTGGTGATGCCTGCCACAGATGCAGGTGAAACATCAGGAGAGAATGCTTCTGGAACATGGTTATACAGTCCGGAAAACTCACAGCAACCCAACGATTCCGGCCATGAAAGGCTTTGACAACACTGCCGGTAGGCTGTTAGGAATTGTGGGAGTTGAAGTCCAAAATACTTGGAAGGCTCAAGTTTGCCCATGCCTGGTCTAGATGGAGGAAAAGGGAATTTTGTTTAAAAGGAGGGTGTCTCTGTACTGCTGTCTAATCTCCCCATTCCTCGACTTGCACCCCAAAATCCCACTTGGATCCTGTTGCAAAATCCTGGAAGGCCTTAAACTTGCCAGAAATGAGAAGGAGAGAGGGGAGTATATATATATGTGTATGTCAGTATAGCCATGGAGTGCTTTTTAAGTGGGTGAAAAAGGAAAAAAAACCACAGTTAAACTTGAATATGTGGATTGCTATGGAGAGTTTTGTTCATAATGTGAAAAACCAACGGTGGTCACGGAAAGAGAAATATGCAGTAAACGTCCCAATGTCGTGTTGGCCACAGCAGACCTTCGGGTCGCCGCTTGTGCTCCCAAATGTTGGTGGGGTTTGTGATTGTCGATTGTTCGTTGTCTCCTTGAAGGGCCTTCCTTTCCCCAGTCCCATCCCATTCGCCAACCGTTCATCAAACGCAAAAGTCCCATCCCATTCGCCAATCATTCATCAGTGTTGGACTGATAAATTATTTGCAAAGTATTTTTGTAACATTTGTTAGTCACCTGTGTTTGTGTTTGT